CCCCCAAGTCTTGAAATCCCTGTGCTCCCTGCTGGGGAAGGGTTGGGGGGGTGGTGGTGGTGTGTGACAGGCTATCCTCGTCTAAATTTCATATTCAAGAAGAGTTCTCGTTGTATTCTACAACTGAAATGGGCCACTTTTTTACCCTTTTGATCAGGACTGATTCAGCTGAACGCAGTTTTTATCGAGTTAGTCGGGCTAACGCTGATTGCTTGTCCTTAGTTGCCCCTTGAGAAGTTGGAATGGCATGCTTAAACCACTGTAGGGAGGTCTACAGTGCCTGTTGAGAAGGCATTCCAGCACACTGATCCTGTAACATGGGAGTGAGAGGAGGCCACTCGGCCTATCGAACCTGCTTTGCCATTCCAAGTGGATGATGGCTGGTCGTCTCCCTGCTCCCTGGGTGTCTAAGATTCACAGCTTGAAGCTTTTTTTAAAAAACTTTGTTTGTGGCATGGCTATAGCAGCCTTTATTGCCCATCCCTAAATAAATGTGGTGGTGCATTTCTGTCTCTGTTAGGGAGGGAGTTCCAGGGGTTTTGACCCAGTGATATAGTTGTAAGTCAGGGTTGGTTGTGCTTGTAGAGGTGGTAATAGGGTGATGCTTTACCCGTGGATGTGCTGCTCTTGTCCTTCCTGGGTGATGATTGTTGTGGGTTTGGAAGGTGGACTTGGAGAAGATTGTACAGATACCGTGGCTATTTTTTTGGTAGATGTGGCGCCAATCAGTTGGGATGTTTTGATGTAGAGCTGCTTGCTTTGCTGCACCCATCCAGAGCAAGTGGGGAGTATTCCATTCACACTCCTGACTTGTGCCTTGTAGATGGTGGACAGGCTTTGGGGAGTCAGGAGGTGAGTTATGCACCACAGTATTCCTAGCCTCTGGCCTGCTCTTGTAGCCGCTGTTTATGTGGTTAATCTGATTCCATTTTTGGCCCTAGGATGTTGGTGACTGTGGGGGAATTCATAATGGTAGTGCCATTGAACGTCAAGGGCAAGAGTAAAGAAATACCTCCTCCAATCTCTGTTTGATTTTTGATTTATCGTCACATGTACCTGAGTACAGTGGAAAGCTTTGTTTTGTGAGCGGTGCAGGCAGATCAGAGCATAGGGTGCTCAGACAGTGAGGCGTACAAAGTTATGGCTGCACAGGAGGTGCATGAAGCAAGATCGACATTAACAAGATCAGCACTATTTGAAGTTAGAGTCCACTCAGCAGGAACAAAGCTGTTCTTGAACCTCCTGGTCTGTGTGTTCAGGCTTCTGTATCTTCTGCCTAACGGAAGAGGTTGTAGGAGAGCATTACCAGGGTGCGATGGGTCTTTGTTGGCTGCCTTTCTGTGGCAGCGAGCTGTGTAAATAGTCCATGGATGGAAGGTTGGCTTCAGTGATGGTCTGGGCTGTGCACACCACCTTCTGTAGTTTCTTACGGTCCTGGGCAGAGCAGTTGCCGTACCAGGCCATTATGCACCCAGATAGTATGCTTTCTATGATGCATCTGTACAAGTTGGTGAACGGCCAGCCCCTTAATTTGGAGCTCTGTTTTCATATTTTGAGATCTGTACCCAGTTCAGTTTTGAGCTGAATTTGAAATGACTCTGACTCTAACATATTGGCACCCATTTTTGAACCAGCTGGATTACGTAAAGTTCCTGACCTAATCCTTTTTATGTGGTGCTATATTTAGGAATGTAAATCAAGCTACATACATCGGAGTGTGTTTTCCTCTGACTGCGTGTGTTGCATCCTATTATAGAACGCACCTGATTCTCAATCCACTGATCTTCCAGTGAAAGTCATTGCCTCTGAGGATGCCGGAGAGGTTTATTAAAATGGTACAGGGAGCAACGCACAGCCCTGGTGTAGACCAGAAGAATGGCTGCCTGTTCGAGCCAAGCAAGTTTGAGAGTGTATTCAAAGTTCAAAAGGGAAAGAGCTTCTATTGCTAGGAAGGTCGGTTACCTCAGGTACACTGGTCAGTGGTAGTTGGCACTACTCCCATGGCCAGGGGAGGGATAGGAATTGTTCTTGCTGTTTGGCTTGTTGTGATCTGGACTGTGCTTCTCAGGAAGCAGATTCAATAGTGATTTGCCAATAGGGATGGGGTAAATAGTTGATGGGGTAAATAGTTGGGGGAAGGGGGTGACAAATATGATGATACGGCTGCAGAGAAAGAGCATAGGTGGTTCAACTGATCGGAGATCTCGGTATGGATGGGCTGAATGGCCTCGTTTTTACATGTGGGGTATGCATGCCTCTGTCTGGGGCCAGCATTTATTGCCCATCCCTAACTGCCGCTGAAAGTGGTGTTAACCAGTTGTTTTGAGCCACTGGCATGGGGCCTGGAAACCACGGGTTTGAGGAACTTCCAGGATTTTGGCCCCAGCCAGCGTGAAGGAGCGGCGATTATATTTCCAAATCAGGATGGTGAGTGGAGTTTGCAGGTGGTAACATACCTGTTTATCTGTTGGCCTTATCCTTTCGGGTGTTGTGGTTGATCAGTTTGGAAGGTGCTGACAGAGGAGCTGTGGGGAGTTGCTGCAGTGCATCTTGCGGATGGTACACACTGCTGTGACTGAGCATCGCTGGTGGAGGGAGTGGATGTTGAAGGAAGTGATGGGGGTTCCCATCAAGCAGGCTGCTTTGTCCTGGTTGGCGTCAAGCTTCTTGAGTGTTGTTCTGTAGTGCGTGTTGGGTTGTCACGACAACCCAGTCTTGTGCTCCCTCCGAACGAGGTCGGTCACTTATTGCCAACATACCTAGGAGCTATAGTGATCTAATCTGATCCCAAACCATGCAGGGCACTTGCATCCTTTCACTCATCAAATGCTAAGGTTCCAGGCAATTGTTGCTGAACAAAGAGACCTTGGAGTGAAGATTCATAGTTCCTTGAAAGTGGAGTGGCAGGTAGGCAGGTGAAGAAGGCATTGGGTATGCTTGCCTTTATTGGTCAGTCCGTTGAATATTGGAGTCGGGAGATCATGTTGCAGCTGTACAGGACGTTGGTTCGGCCACTTTTGGAATACTGTGTTCAATTCTAGTTTCCCTGCTGTAGGAAGGATGTTGTGAAACTTGAAAGGGTTCATCCAGCTCCATGCTGTGTGTTATCTCTGACTCCAGCATAGGCAGTTCTTTAATATCTCCTCCAAATCCAGCTTGATTTCCATCACCCAAGTTCGGGAAATCCCTCCCCTCCCTGCTCCTCCTCAACGTACACTTTTGACTTTTCGTCTGCCCAATGTGAGAGACTCTCCTTTGCAAGCTCTTGCCTTGTCATGAGGTGTGGTGGCCTTTGGGTCAAACCACCACCAGTTGGCTCGCTCTCGCTCTCGCTCTAATAAGAGAGCAGCCCTGTGGCTCAGCCAGGAGGCCTACGGCAACTTTACCTTGATCTCCTTTTAATCTGGCCAGAGGGTGGGATGGTGATTAGAGAAGAATGTTCTCAGTAGATGAAATAACAAGGTGTAGAGCTGGATGATCACAGCAGGCCAAGCAGGAAAGCTGACGTTTCGGGCCTAGACCCTTCTTCAGAAATGCATCTGCAGTTCCTACTATCTCTGTTCTCAGTAGATGGCCTGCATTCCTGTGGCAGCCTGACTTGATACTCCAGTGTGCAGCTGAAGGGGTGCCACATGCTCGGAGTTGTCACCTACCTCCGCCAGGCCTGAAGCCAAACTGCTGCCTCGGAAGAGCCAGCAACCCTCCTGATAAGGGAGCAGTGGCATTTTATAACTTTTAGTTTTCTTCTCATTTGTGGGATGCAAGTATTGCTGACCAATTCAGCACTTATTGCCCATCCCGATTGAAGGAAAGTGTCCCTCGTGCCACCTTATCTACCTGCCCTGCTCCCTTTGGGGGGTAGAGGGGCAGTGGGCACATACTCCAAGGTCCAGAGCTTCCTCTAACCCTCTCGGTACCCTCCCATTTATTGCCCTTGCTTTGTATGCCCTTACCCAAATCCTCCAGATTGGATTTTCCACTTGCTATTTTTCCCTTTGTCATCCTCTTTGCTGTTAGCCTTTCGGCCAGTTTATATCACCTATACGTTTTGCAATTCTTACTTAAGTCCAAATCATTTAATCCGAGTGTTGCTGGAGGGCAATTTTCTTCTGACGCGTTTTTTTTAAAGTCATGGACTCGTCTGGACGTTTTGCAAGAATACCAATTTGAAGGGAAGCATTAACGCTTCTACAGCATGGGAGGAGAATGCCAAGTGGATGGCGTTGCTGTAAGCTTATGTACCTGTTGATGTAGATTGACAGTTAACTGCCACACCTTGCTTAAATTTTAGGCCCAACAGGTTGAGTGTGATTTATGTTGGCCTGGAAAATGAACCAGTGAATTCCTGTTTTTGTTTGTCATGTACATACATGTCCTTTTCTGTCTGCAAAGAACAGGGCCCTGTACATTAATACGTTGATAATTGAAATTTACAGTTTGGCCGTTAACTGTCAGTCAGCATTGCATGCATTCTCCATCTCTGCCAGAGTGCAGTTTCCAACCAATCACTGCTCCTCTCTTGTGTATAAGTGTTGGTTTTCCTCTTGAGTTGGCATTCTAGCAAAATGTCCTGATGAGCAAATCTCCTTTGACACGTCTGTTTTGAAGATTCAGCAAATATTTAAATCATTAATGTCTATTTAAAAACAGTAAGGAACCCACCACCTAGTCTTCTGGAACGCCATTGAAAATTGACTTCCATTCACAAAAATGTCCATCAACATTGCTGTTTGTTTCCTGTCCGTGAGCAGATTTTATGTTCCCCTGTAATCCCGTAAGGTTTAATTTTTCCAACCAGACTGCTGTGTGGGACCTTGTTAAATGCCCCACTAAAACCCTTATAGACAGCGTCTGTTACAGTGCTGTCATCAATCTTCTTTGTTACTTCAGAAAAATTTAAATTGACTGAAAAGACACGACCTTCCCTTAACAAAATCATTCTGTTTGGGGCTGGGGTTCTCCAGGACACAGCTATCAGCGTGGCTGCCTTCTTTCACTTTGTTTCTGAACTCCAGTGCACATGCCTCTGTTAAGGGAAAGCCTAAACTTTTCAGTTTGAAATTGCCCTTCAAATGCTACGTTGGGAACACAGAACATAGAACAGTACAGCACGGTACAGGCCCTTCAGCCCACGATGTTGTGCCGAATTTCTACCCTAAACCTAAGGTCTATCTAACCTCCACCCCTACCTTAATATTGCTATATATTTAACTGACCTTACCACCAGTTGTTATGCAATGCTGAACCTTAGGAACAGAATAAATCACAATCTAGACACCGCCTCCTTCTCTTGTAGCAAAATAAGAATTAAACAGGCTAATGTCAAAGGTTCTGGGTGTCGCACCTTTTAGGAAGAATGTGTAAAGATGTGAGAGTGTTGAAGAGGGTTACAGGAATAGCATTCTCATCCCTGGAATGTGCTATGCTGGGGGATGTTGGATCAGTTCCCCTTGGAGGAAAGGCTGAGAGGGAGATCGGATTCTGAAGTACTGGAAAAGAAAATGTTTCCTCGCAGAAATAATCGAGCAGAGGGCACGGATTTAAAATTATGCCCCGAGGGGAAGCACAAGTGATGTGTGGAGAAATGGTTCTGTGCAGCAAGTGGTTGGGGTCTGAAATGTGCTGCCCATGTGTGTGCTGGAGAAGATTTGATTTGAGGTTTTCTTCAGGAATTGGACTATCGAGTGAAAAGAGAGAATGTCGCAAAGTGAGTTCCTGACTTGAAGTGCTGGCACAGTGGTTAGCGCCGCTGCCTCACAGCAGCAGGGACCCAGGTTTGATTCCACCCTCGGTCAACTGTGTGGTGTTTACACATTCTCCCCGTGTCTGCGTGGGTTTCCTCCAGGTGCTCCGGTTTCCTCCACAGTTCAAAGGATGTGCAGGTTAGGGTGTGTTGGCCGTGCTAAATTGTCCCTTGGTCCCCAGGGATGTGCAGGTTAGGGTGGGTTGGCCGTGCTAAATTGTCCCTTGGTCCCCAGGGATGTGCAGGTTAGGGTGTGTTGGC